GTGCTAGATAATACTATAGGCTGTTGAATTCACCGTCATTTTCACATGATTAAATTGTAACCTTGTTAAAAGACTGTGTTATTAGTTGACAGGCAGTAACATTGTGCAAAATCATATAGTGCAAGGTAAGATGCTCGCTACAGTATGAGCATACACACCGATTTATGTGGTGCACACACACACAACATAGCAGGCAATGTATTTGTACTTAAACTTGTTTCCAATGAAGTAATATTTAATTAAAACTAGATTTAAACTCGTCACTGAGGACGAGTTTGGTGATCCGCCGTACTTTGACCCTCAATTGAAAATTATTATATGCTAAAACATGCCCTATTTAGTTTTTAAAATGAGTAATTTTCAGCATTTTAATGACATACGAATGTGTACACATACGTCTTAACGTCCGTGCCCATGGTAATGATATTAATACAGTGTCACAAACCCAAAACATGTAACCGAAACGTAATTTCCAGCTTCAGTACGTGCTGTGGGTGTGGAAATGAGCGTACGGCACGTAAATTATGGAAAGTTTTGGAATACTGAAAATGACCTGAAACGTGCTTTAAATTATCTGAAAAATGATATTGAGGATATTCACATTACAACGCACGTGCATGTCACGATGTGTGCGTGTACCGTAATGGCACAAAAAATTTAACATTGTCATGTTTTTTTTAAACCGCATGTTAGTTGGCTTAACACAAACAATATTTTCAGTACAAATTTATTCACTGATAGGTATAGACAACTATGGCTTCAACTGTACAGTATTTCATTATATAGCAGGGGTTCCAAGTCTCCCGTCACTCACAGGAATATCCCAGGAATCAGTGTCGATGGTATCACTATGGGCAGCAAAATAAAAATTATAAGTGTTTCAGCTGGGGGCTGAAATGCAAGTTACGATAGCACACCGTCTTTCAGATGAGTCGTTTAAGCCATTGGTTTAAGAATGTAGTGCACTCTTCGGAAAAGAGTAGGGGATTGTCTCCCGGTGTTCTGCCCAATTCACCGCCAGAAGGACCCCACTGGAAAGAAGTCTTCTTTAGACTCTCGTGGGTTATCCTTGGTGTGTATCACACCGAATAAATCCATTCATCCAGGTGACGCTTGCTCAATTTTTCCTAGCATGCCTTCTATGTGACATTTTGTCTTGTTTGAATTATATGTACTTGTTGCGCATACGAGTAACATTTGTTGAACATCCTACCAAGGAAGTACAAATATGTGGTATAATTTAAAAGGTGTAAAAAAAACAATCATGGTACAAAAGTTTCTACAATTCACAAAATATAATAATTTATTGAAATCTGGTATGTAAGACAGACTAAGCAAATAATTGGTGATCCGCTCTCGAGTGGATCACCTCTTGTTATTGTACTGTCTCTTCTTTTTGGTGATCCGCAACTAATGCGGATCACCTCTTGTTATTGTCAGGGTCATCATCATCATCATCATCTTCATCTTCTTTTTTTTATTCTTCTTTCTTTCTCCCCTTTGTTGTTCGCACGATATCTCAAGAATGCTACGAGATACGCACAAGATCGCTTCCTCAATCATTTTGGCTTCGCCTGGAATAGACATGGTAAGGTTTTCAAGGTGACCAGTCATGCGTGACGTCAGCTACGCGCAATTTTGCGTTTTTACATTATCGATCATATTAGCCCAACCATTTGCTATTTTGAAATCGTATTAAGTGAGCATTAACTTCAGGTCAATGTTGAATGTACTGTACCCTAATTTTACGCGTGTACTTCATAAAACGTGCGTCAAAATTTCAAAATGCTCAATCACTTTTTGACTAAATTAGAGCACGTTACACGCCATTTTGAGCAAGTTTGAAAATATGCAGGACAGATATTTAAAAGTAATTGTTTATATTTTTAGTTGCACATTAGGCAAATTAATTGTACTACCTTCCACTGTACTGTACTAATGTAATTTGAATAATGAATTCTTGCATGTGCTTTTGTAGTGCGACAAGTCTCTTTCAGAATTTTCGTAGATTCGTGTTAAGTGTAAAATTGTTATTTTACGATATTTTAACTTACATAATAGGAACTCAAATATGCCCTTAATGGTAAGACACCATTATAATTCTTCCAGATATGTGCAGGCGTTTGGGCAGTAAAACGTAACAAATAATGTGTCCATAGTCAAATAGTAATGGTACATTTTTGAGGTACAAAATTAATATGACTACTGTATATTAGCAATATTTTCATTACAAATTATTTACGTATATGATAGGCACAAACAACTACTGTATGTCTACAACTGTACAGTATTTCATTATATACATTAATTTCATATAAAATTACAGTTTTGAATACTAATGTATCATAAAGATTCTAATTGAAACTCTGTACTTTGTATTGCTCTTGCTGTAGTAACAGTAGTATATCTCACCATGTTTATCTGTAGTGAGACCTCCAACCAATTAAAATATCCAAACTAATTATAACTACTGTGTATTAACACAAGCAATATTTTCAGTACAAATTTATTCACTTAAATGATAGGCATAGACAACTATGGCTTCAACTGTAGAGTATTTCATTATATAGCAGGGGTTCCAAGTCTCTCCGCCATTCACAGGAATATCCCAGGAATCAGTGTCGATGGTACCATTATGGGCAGCAAGATAAAAATTAAAATTTAAGAAAACTCATTAACCAAATCAGTGGCAGATTCAAAAGGGGTGGATCGGGGGCTCAATTGTTAAAAATTATTTTTTTTAAATGGTGAAAAAAATAATACTATATTCAAATGTAAGTCTGAGGGTGCTATTTGTGGCCATCTAGAGGTGCCAAAATCATAAATTTAGGAAGGTAGAATCTCCATCTGTGAAAGTCCCTTCACTGGCCCCCTCTATTTCGAATTCCTAGATCTGCTACTGCAGATCTCCCGGAATACTTCTACAAACTTGAGACCCCTGATATAGTATACAGTAATTTCATATTATAAAATAACAGTTTTAAATACTGAAAAGTACTATAACGATTATAATTAAAACTGTGTATTCTGTGTATTCTATATAAACCCATGTTCATGCAGAGTATCTCAAATGTTTTGTAGTGACCCCTTCCCAATTAAAGTATCCAATTCTTTATTGGCAATATTAAATTGCAATTCATATCAAAATTGTTGGTTTCATAATTAGTCATTTAAAATAAGGATACATATTTTGTTTGGTTCAGCTTATATTTTTATTCTCCAAACGTGTCTAAAGTTTTTTTCTCACACTTTAAAAAATGAACAGTCAAAAACTATGGGATTCCTTGCTCAAAGACTGATGTTTTTCCACAATCCCTTGGATTTTGCCAGCATAATTCCCTGTTCCTACTGTACATTGAACTCACCATTAAGTGATTGGTAAGCCTCATTCTCATTTTCAATGTACCCCAAATCATCCGGTGTTTTGACCTTGTTGTGTGTCTGCGATGTAGTAGGCCCGTCATTTTTCTTATTCATATTTATACCATCAACGAAATCATCAATTTCTTCATCAGCCTTGTTTGTTCGGTCAAGATAATAAGCTTCACCTTGCTTGGCAACACTAACTTCATTAACAGCGGGTGTTAGTTCATAAGAATTGGTGTCTGCTGATTGGTAGATGTCATTTTCTTTCATGACACTGTCCTCAGAAGATTGCTTAAAATTGATGTCATCACTTTGTGCTGCTCCTTCCATCATTCTAATTTTGTCTGTATCTTCTTGTTGGTCATTCTCAAAGTATACATTTTTATCTGTTGGTGGTGATTTCATTGCAGAGTTTTGTTTTAATTTGAAGTTCCTTCTTACAAAAAATAAAATAATAATGATTAGAAATAGTGTTATTAAAGCTGCTACTGAGACTATGACTATTAATGGTGTTGCATTTTCTTCTTTTGCTGCTGTTGTTATTGTTGAAGATAAAACAGTGCCTTCTGGGCTTGTTTGGACCATGGTGCCTTGTGAATTATCTACATCAGTGTATTTAGTAGGGGAAGTTGATTGTGACGATACCTCAGTTTTTTGTGGTAGTATTGTACTATGTGTCTGCGTTATAGAACATTTTATTCTCCAAAGTTTTCTATTTGGGATTTCAACACTACATTCAATATTTTGTGGATTGACTTCTCTTGGGTTGAATGTGTAATTCAGTGGACAGACGTCAGATGTGCAATCTCCCATTCTGTGAACACTACTGCCATCAACAAGAAATTCTACTTGGAACTGTGGAATATTTCGATAGGAACATGAAGCAACTGATGTGCTACCATTAATATTGATGATTGTACATTCTGGCTGGTAGATTTGCAGGTCATAAATTCTTAATTTCTGGACATCCTCACCATCAGTGTTTGACACTAACCTGCATTCATATTTGTCTGCAAGATATGGCCAAACATCGATGTTATCAGGTATTACAATGTACAAACTATAGTCTGCACTTACACCAGGTAAAGCATAAAATGCTTTTGTAAGGCCAAGTGAATCAATAATATTTTTTTCAGAACTGATGTAACTATTGTCACTCCACCACCTAACAGTGTGTTGGCCATTCATCTGGTCAAACATACATGGCAGAGATACATTCTGTCCAGGTACAGCTTCAATGATCATTTCACTCACCACACAAGTAGGCACGTACAGTATGTACAACAAGAAAACCATACTCCACAGGTGGATATTATACCTCATATTTACCGTTTTTGTGAAGCAAACAAATCATGGATAATGTAAAAAGTTGTATTGTCTTCTCTTCTACTATGTCTGTTTTTTCTTACTCCTTGCAGTGAATTATCTGTTATTTTAATCCATGGTTCGCTTATAAATGGCATGGTAATCTGTTTGAGTAAAATAAAATAAAACCATGTAATTGAAATTCAACATCCTTATTGCAATTATCAGTGTGCATTCAGATATAATTAAAAATAAAACATTAATGTGTATTTTATGATGTTCTGATTTTATAATATTGTATTGTATTATGCTCCCTGTTATTAGTGTTTGCTCTGTTTTGTGTGAATGTTAATATTTGTTTTGATTATAATGTGTGTTATGTGTTAGGCATTTATGCACCGCATCAGCCTCTCAGACCCAAATCTCTGCCAGTGTGGTGGGATGCAGACACGCAATGTCGTAGCCAGCTATTGGGACAGTTGGAACAGTCCACAAATTTTCTAATGAGTCCACAAAGAATGTGTCCACACTTTTAAATGGGTCCAAATTATTGAGTTTTATGCATAAAATGAGTCCATTTGTGAATAATGGAGATTTCTGATATTTTGCCTAAAATGGGTTAACCTTTTAGAAAATGGGTCCAGACATATTTTTTGTGTAAAATGGGTCCACATTATTCAGATTTGTGCGTAAAGTGGGTCCACCCCGATATTGTCCTGCACTGTTTAAAAATCCTGGCTATGGCATTGCAGACACGTACTACAATGTCAGTCAATGTGAATGCAAGGTGATCTTGCCATAGTTGACAGTAAATTCAGAGCATAGACCTGCAAGCTTCAAAACTTGCCTTCTAATGTTAAAATGTTTGCAAGTGCATTCATATGAATATGTATGTATGTGTTTCAGATCATGATGATCTAATAGCAAAACATATACCAGTATTAAAAATATGGGTTTATGAGTAAATTTTAAAATTTTTTCTCACTAGAGGTGTTGTGTATGTTATATATTAAAAGGTTTCTAAAAACAAATTGCAGTTGGGGGCACTTTCATGAAAATTTAAATAAGTTATTTCTTTTTAGTGTTGATGAAGAATTAAAGTATTAGCTCATTTTTCTCTTATATAATTATTCAACATAATTAATCATGTCGTAGTGAATTGTAAATCAAGAATAAAGCTCTGAAAATATAAAACTGAAAAATTATAGAAATCATTTAACATCATTTTAATAGGGAAGCTGTGTATCGCAGAATAACAAGCATAGGTTGTAGTTGGGTATATTTAAATTCAGTCATGAAAGTTTACAAAAGTGTTAATAAAGAAATAAACTATACAATAAAAAACAGATATTCATGTTAATCCAAAGAAATACATTTTTCTGAAGATTTTTGACACATTTATCAATAATTTACTTATTCTGTTGGTTAGATGGCCAAAGAATTATTATTCCACAATTTCATTAATTTAAGGGTGATGCAAGTCGAAAGTTGCGGTCTGCCTCCATGCTGAAAGATGCAGTTTTACAAATGGTTTAGTTCAGTTGGTTGAGACAGAGAACACTGCAGTTTTCCAAAGGTCACAGGTTCAAATTAATCCTGTAGCTTCATATTTTCTTAGCTCCATTTATAAAACTCTATATTGTTGGTAAGGCATTGAGTTCATGCTATCATAGTTGTAGTCATTTTTACAAGATGAACTTCCTGGTAGTTTTTAATTCTTTCATATTTCTATATAGTTTTACTATTATTTTATATGGTACCGTATATGTTAATTATGCTGCATACAGCAGCCCCCCTGCTGGCGCTGCCACTGTATACATATGGCTTGTACCCTGTAGTTAATTAGAGGAGAACCTTCACCCTACAACTCTATAATATTTATTTGTCATTTGTAAAATAAATAACAATAAAGTCAATTTCTCAGAGATGTACTAGCTGGTAGTCAATTTTTCCTTACTTCTATGTTCTTTTACAGTATTATTTTAATAGTACGCTACATACTAAATATGCTGCATACACACAGTTTACAACAGTTTGTGGTCGCTGATTTTGTCAATTGAAATAAGCGTTTTAATACTCAGCACAGTAACTAGGACAGTTTTTAAACTTTAGAAAGTCTACACAGGTACTGAAAAGGTTATTATGAAAATGCATACAATGACATAATTGAAAATGCACTTAGCATTAATATAAACATAACAAAATTGTAACTTGTATTTTCCATATTATTGTGTATGGTTATATTTAGGTACATAGCTTGTAGCCTGTGGTTAATTACAGGATTTGATTAGGAATGTCATCCTACAACTACTGTATAATTATTTGTTTGTAATTTTAATTATTAAACAAATTAGTTGGATATTTGTACATTTTTCTGCCATTACCTGTTCAAAATGATCTAATCTTCTTAAATTATAAAAAAAAAACTCTATATTGTAGTCAAAGTACAGTATAACTTAAATAAGCTAGATATTGTAGTGCACTTTTTTTTTGCTTTAGCTCCTTTTATTAGAAAGTAGACCTACAACTTTCATCATGGAAACTAAATATTTTTCTAATTCGAATTTATAATGATAGGTCAAACTAAGTGCTATGGATTTAAAATTATTTAATTATTAAAATTTAGAAAAAAATATGAGGCAGAATATTAACCAAAAACAGACTTACTTTACCTGCTTCACTGTTTCCAACATGAAGCTACAGTTTTACTTTGATACTACTTCCTTGTTGAGCCCAGTGGTTAATAAACAAAAGTGCTATGATTGACAGTTGACACCAATGATATTGTATTGTTGTTCTGTCTGTCAATAATGCTTTCCAAACAGTTTGATGTTTGTTTGGTATCAGGTCCCAGACTGTGTTATTCATGCATATAAGTTTATTAAAGCTTTGTAGTGGTAATTCAAGATAAAGTGCATATCCTCTACATCTCACATTCTGGGTTCAATTCAACGTGATCGTCAATAATTTTTCAACTTTAAGTAGTAAGAGGAAATTATTACATCATTTCTATTTTTCGAACTTTTATACTGTAGAATACAGAGTTGTTTTCTAAGAGAGATTTGGAAATTATCATCATGAACAAGTGCCTTAAACAAAAATTTATATTTGGCACTTGTTAAATAAATGTTTTATTGATTCCAAATTTAGGGGACCCCCCTAATTTTTTTAAAAATCATATAAAAAATGTAGAAAAAAGAAAATTATATTCAAATTCAAGTTTTAAGTGTCATGTAGCTGATAATTCAAAACTGTATTGTGTTTTGTACTTTTCTCTTTTATATCTGTTGGATTAAAATTAACTATCAATTGATGGAAAACAAAGTACTTCCATCACTAATCGCAGACACACATTAAAGTTGCTTATCTACATAGATTATTTTATTATTATTTATTATATATTATTTGTTCACCATTCAACAGCAACGTAAGTTGCCACTTCAAATAACTTTCAATTTTTTAAGGAGACACAAATAAAACAATAGTTTTTTTCGGCTTACTATACAAAAATCCTTAAATTTATAGACCTAATCGGCGACTAGGAAACAGTACGTGGTCATGATATTTATAGTGGGTAGAACTTACAGTGTGATCAGGATGAAAGAATAAGAAAAGGTAATGTTATGGTTACAAAAACAACTGCCCACTGTTAATGTGAGAAATAATGGAAAAGAAAGGCAATATGATTGTTCAAAATAGTGTTTATATACTATCGTTTTCTGTGCATTTTATGCTACAGAAATTACATGATCCTTCGTGAGCATTGAGCTAGCCTAGAAATCGATCAACAACTCTGCATGCCTAAACAAGGCTGTAGATATGAAGGGACCAGACCTAACATTTCTCGAAAAATCTTTAGGGCCAGTACATTTTGGAGGTTTACCGAACTATTATGCAATATACTCAAGTTTAATTTCCAATAAATTTAGTATAGTTTACTGGTGTCCAACCAACATTTATTGAACATTGACTATGTGCCCTACAGCAGAATCCATGCATTTTCCTACTCAGCTTCACTGGTGGACGACGAGAGTTTGCTAGTACCGTGTTACCGGGTAGCATAGACACGAAGGGACCCTTAGAGGCGAAGAAAGTTATTGATCGAGTTCCTAGTCCACAGATCAAGCACCCTGAGCATCTTACATAAGATGGGTATGTGCACTATATAAAACTACACTATTATTATTATTAGATAATAAGCGCTGTCTGTTTCCAAATTGAAAATTTGTGAAATTAATTTTTTGACCCAAAAATTAATTAATGCTAAAACAATAGTGTTTCTATATTCTTTTTATAGACATTGGTCATCTATTTAATATTTAATGTTAACTTTTTAATGTTATCACTTTTTTTAACCCAGTTTTGCTGTTTTTGGTACACCCTTTGCAATTTGTCTTTTGAATGTTTTTTTTTTTAATCGAAAACAGTACAACTAAAATTTCTTTGTATGTTTTTATATGAGGATAAATCAGTTTTCTTGTATCTTGTATCTTAATTATTAACTACAGTATTACTATAATGTACTGAAATTATTGTTTGCTGCCCTCTTTATCAATAGTTACAAAAAGGGTTTTACTTAAGAAGGGACCCAGAAAGAAGACTTTTTTTTTTGAGGGGATTTTTGATATGCTGTTAGTAATAGAATCAACTTTAAAATCGTTTTTTTTTTTTTTTTGGCAATTTTTTATGAAGTTATAGGACATTACGATTTCACTCCTTTAGCAACATGACGTCAGTGTAAGCTACTGTAACCAAAAATCATATAGTGCTGCCGGCTATTACTAATGACATAAAAAGTCCCCTCTAGAAAAAAAAAATCGTTTTTCTTGGTCCCTTTTAATAAGGCCTTTATAAAATGTATATTAAATGTGTATTGAATTGGATTATTGAATTGAAAATTACAATAGCATATAGATGTTTGCATAAAAAAGTTAAAATTTTATACTTAAAATCTTATAAGGAGTATTTAAATTTGAAGAAACCAACCTATGATATATTTTGCCTGCTAATTAGTGTCAGTCACTAATTATAACACATCATTATCAAAGCATGTAGGTTACAGTAACTATAGGTACGTTGAACTCTGATTGGGGCCATGGACGTGTTTGTTCATAACCTTTGGAACAGGCCCAGGCTCCTGGAAATTAGCACATACTACAGTCCCGCACTCCTCATAGTAGTGGGTTGGTGTCAGTTGGGGGATCCAGGTGGTGGGGAAAAGACCCCAACTGGGAAACAATGGATCCCGTATGGAAGAAGCCAGTCATTTCGTTGGGAACTCTGCTTTGAAAAAACATTTTTTCAGTCTGGATATTCTTAAAAGTTGCTCCAAAAAACAAAAACAAAAAAATTATATGTTTAAATGTTTTTACTACTTTGTTATTAATTATGTCTCTAAAGTTTATGTTGGGTACCTTCATAAGTAGTAAATACAATAAGAGGCCATTGAGGCGACTAAGATTAAAAATTTTTATCAGCTGTTAATTTGAAAAAAGGCAATTAATTGGATGTGTCAATACAGATTTACTGTGTAAAAACATCAGATGATGGCAAACATTTTCATTATGTTTTTAAAGGGAAATTGATTAGGATTTTATAAATCAGTTTTAAAAATATTGTAACTGTGGCTAGCCAAAGTACTCAGCTGTAACAAATGCTTGGTAGTTGCTTGTTACCATGAAATAGCGACATAGTACTTTTAATGAAGTTTATGTATACTTACGTTTCTTTTTCTGTTGGGTTGGAATTGATTTGCTTGTCGTAAACCTCTTGACTTTGTGATACTGTACTTAATGTAAATATTACACTATGTACTTCCTTTGTCAACTCAACCAAGGGAAGTATTATAAAATCAATTAAAAACTGAGAATGTATTTTTTTTTGTACAAGTAATAGATGCCAGCTTAAAAAAAGTTTCAAATTAAAATATAGTTGAATTGATTGACACAATGCAAATTAACTTTATACAGTACTTGCCTTGCACGCTTGTAAAGTTCACAGGAGAGTTTATACTGTAGGCCTACGGCTTAGTATAACCCCGATTGTGCTTTTAGACCACAGTAATTAGCAATCAAAATAACATTATTTGGATAGGCAATTATATTTTTGTTTGCAATAATCATCATCACCGGGCAACAGGCTCGTAAAACAAGGTTGAAGAGGAGTCTTACCTAAAGAGAAATGTATCCATATTAACATAATTTACATAATAAAAAAATAATAATAATAATAGTAAATCAGTATTTATATAGCGCCTCACATTGAAGTTTCTTTTAAAGTGCATATTTTACAGTTCCTCAGTCCCTTAGCATTTTATTTGCACCTTCATTGTCTTCCATTGATGTACGGTATTATGATCTATTCAAGATGATAACCACAGTAGTTTATGAAGCAATATTAAATAAAATTCAGAATACAGTGCTTTTAAAAAACTGTATTTATTCATTTTATAAGCAATTTGAGACATCAAACATTTTACACACCAGTATTACTATTTATTACCACATAATACGTAGCACACTTTTCATGATAAATTATGTTTTAATTACATGAGATAAAATGTTACATGTGATGTGCTAGATAAATACTATAGGCTGTTGAATTCACCGTCATTTTCACATGATTAAATTGTAACCTTGTTAAAAGTCTGTATTATTAGTTGACAGGCAGTAACATTGTGCAAAATCATACAGTGCAAGATAAGATGCTCGCTATGAGCATACACACCGATTTATGTGGTGTTGCCCGCTTCACGCTAGACATATGCTAATTTTACACAAATGCGCCTGCACACATACACAACGTAGCAGGCAATGCTTGCTCAATTTTTACATCTTCCATGTGACATTTTGTCTTGTGCGAATCAGAAACATAATTTATATTGAAATGAAAGAATATACATAATTTTCAGTGTTCAATATTTACAGTATGAACTATTTCTAATTAACATTTGTTGAACATTCTTACAAGGAAGTATGTGGTATCATTATACAAAAAAAAAATCTTTGAATATTTCATCTACAATTTCCAAAATTCTACCAAAGGCTAATATGTAAAACACAGTGAATCAGCTATTATTGTTTTTTATATTAAAATCGTTGTTTTATTTAAATGTCACTTTATAGTCAAATAGGTAAAGGAATACAAATGGAAGTTTAAGCTAATTGGCATATCCCAAATTTGGAAATAGGACAGAGATTGAAATGTAATTGCTTATGTCCGCCATCATGGAAATTAATTGTCGGAGATACAAAATTAATTATTTTTGACTTTGTACAAATTTATTCACTTAAATGATAGGCACAAACAACTATGTTTACAAGTAATTTGATATCATAAAATAACAGTTTTGAATACTAAAATGCACCATTTGGATTCTAACTGAACCCTGTACTCTATATTTGACCCATGCTGTAGTACAGGTGCCACCATGTTTATGTAGTGACCTCTACCAACTAAAATACCAAAAGGGGGGGGCCGGCGCCTGGCCGCCCCCCCCCCCTAAAAATGCCCCTGTTGGCAATATTGTAATTGCAAGTGAAAGGCATATCAACATTGTTGGTGTATTTGTTAAAAATAAAACGATATATGTTATGTTTTGTTTGGTTTAGTTTTGTTTTTTTTCTTCTTCTATAATCCTGTCTAAAGCAAGATATTTTTTGGCTTGTATTTTTTAAGAATGCAGTGGAAGAATCAAGAGATTTTTGGGCTTGTATTTTTAAAGAATGCAAGTTGAGCCAAAAACGAAGGGTTTGCATATAGTTGTGAGTCTTAATATATAAGTCTGTTATATTATCTTTCAAGTACTGCATTGTACGCACATGCCTGCTTCACATTAAATTTCATCAATGGCTGCTATTTTTCTTGATCCATTTTGGATTTCTAGCATTCCATGTTCCTTCATTGACCTTATCAAGTGATTGGTGAGTCTCATTCTCATTTTCTATATACCCCAAATCATCAGATGTTTCAACCTTGTTGCATGTCTGCGATGTAGCAGGCCTGTCATTTTTTTATTCATATTTATATCATCGACAAAATCATCAATTACTTTGTAGGCCTTGTTTGCTTCATCAGGCTGTATTTTATCTTTGTGGGGCATGGTAACATTATTAATAGTTGGTGTCAGTTCATAAGTATTGGTGTCTGCTGATTGGTAGATGTAATTTTCTTTCATAACACTATCTTCCGAGGACTGCTTAAAATTGATGTCTTTCCATCATGCTACTTTTTTATGTGTGTTCTATTTGGTCAGTCTCAAAGTATTCATTTTCATTTGTCGGTGGTGATTTCATTGCAGAATTTTGTTTCAATTTGATATTCCTTCTTACAAAATATAAAATTACGATTACCAGAAATAGTATTATTGAAGCTGCTACTGGGATTATGACTATTAATGGTGTTTCCTTGTCTTCTTTTGCTGCTGCTGTTGCTATTTTTGAAGAGATTTCAGTGCCTTCTGGGCTTGTTTGGACTTCTGGGCTTGTTTGAATCATGGTGACTTGTGAATTTTCTGCATCAATGTATTTGGTAGTGGAATTTGATTGTGGGGATACCTCAGTTCTTTGTGGTAATATTGTACTATGTGCCTGCATCATAGAACATTGTAGTATCCATCCTACCCCAGGTAAATTGAGTAAACATTCAAGATCCTGTGGATTGACTTCTGCTGAGTTGTATGTGTAAGTCATTGTACAAATATCAGATACCGGTATGCAATCTCCTGCTCTGTGAACACTCTTGCGATCAATTCGCCATATTACTTGATACTCTTGAACATTTTGATAGGAACAAGAAGCAACTGATGTGCTGCCATTAATTTGAAAGATTGTACATTTTGGCTGGTAGACTTGCAGTTTATAAATTTGTAATTCCTGGAAAACATTGTCATCATTCTTTGACACTAACCTGCATTCATAGTTTGCTGCAAGAAGTAGCCAGAGATTGAGGTCATAATCAGGTATCATAATGAACAAAGTGTAGTCTGCATCTGTTCCAGTTATAGAAAAGAATACCCTCATAGACCTAAGCGATCCTTCAAGCATTTGTTTTCCTGAACTGATGTATTTATTATGACCCCACCACTTAACTGTATGTTGGTCATTCATCTGGTCAACCATACAAGGCAGAGATACATTCTGTCCAGGTACGACATCGATGGTCAATCCTCTCACCATATATGTAGATGTGTACAACAAGAGAACCATACTCCACAAATGGTTATTATAACTCATATTTAAAGTTTTTGCAGATCAATCAAATTATGTAATTCTCTTGAAAGATGTATTGTCTTTTCTTCTACTATTATCTGTCTTTTCTTATGTCTTGCAAATGAATATATCCTTTATTTTAATCTATGATTCACTTATAAACTGCATGGTAAAACCTGTTTGAGTAAAATAAAATAAAAATATAATTAAAATTCAACTTCCTTATTGCCATTGTTATAAATATTTAGATTGTGTAAGATTTTATGGTTATCAGTGTGCAGTCAGTGATAATTTAAAGAAATATCATTTATGCAGGGGAAGATTTAGAGGTTGGGAGGGGTGTCAGGCTGGCTGCGGCCCCTTTTTTGGAAAGTTAAAAAAAAAAGAAAGAAAGAAAAAGAAATAATTGATCGCCCAAAATGCCACAGAGGTTATTTTCGAGCTAGGGCGGTGTTTTCATGATCGTCCCCATCTTTCAGACATCTCCGGATTTATGTGTATTTCATTTATGTTCCTCGTTATTGGCATTTGCACTGTTGTGTGAAATGAAATATAATAATAAAATGAAATATAATAATAAAATAAAATAAAATATCTGATCATAATGTGTTTCAGATGATGATGATCTTGGCAAAACAAATGTGGCAAAGAAAAGCCAAACCAGTCACTCATCGCAAAAATCAATTTTTAATTATTAGCACAGTTTTAAACTGAGAGCTATAAAATGGTAGAAAAATCATTTAAATCCGACATTTTATTATAATTTACAGGAGTTTGAATATACAGCGCCACCAATGAGTAAGTTAATTTTGAGACAGAAATAAGGGACTTAAATAATAATAAATAAGAATCATGTAATCTTATATTCCGTATTTGGATAAATGTGCAGACCGAAATAAATGATTTCAGCCAATCATTTGCTCACATTCTCAAAGTCACAAACTTGTACAGTAACTGAGTCGCGTCTTGCGTTGACTAGTTAGGCTGACTAATAAATAGTCTCTTTTATAAAACGGAGCTAAAATATATAGAATAGACCCTAAGAAGAGTGGGCAATGGCAAAGATGAATTAAGCTTAGGCTAGATGGCTCATATTACAGCCTACAACACAACATTCCGGGAGGATGGCCTGAGGTTTGGCAAAGTGCGAGCCAGCGAGTCATCCAGCGAGGCATAAAATTCATGCAAGCCTTGACGGTAATTAATGTGGGACGTGTACCAAAGGAACATTTATTTTCTTCTACAAAGTATTTATTTAATTAATTTGAATATTTTGATAAAAGGTGACACTTGAGTGTTGTAAAAAGCTTTTCTTAGATGCAGATATCTTCATATTTACAGGTAGGTTATTTCCAGAATTTGGTCCACTGAATCTAATATTGTGTTGAAAAGAAGCTTTTTTATGTGTGTGAATAGAGGTTAATACTAATTCTAGTAGTGTAATTATGTAAGTAGGAGTTTGGATGAAAAATTTGGATAAAAAAAATTTGTGGGGTATTTAGATAATTTATTGACACACAAAAGTCCCTGCTAATAAACACTTGTACAATTTATAAAACAATTACAATAATGAATTAACTACTTTTAACATTATTATTTTGATATTAAAAAGACAATTTCCAGCTATCCAGACAAGACTTCAAATAGACCTATAATGTATGACTAGGCTAATATTCATTTTTCACTCCACTGCCCATTCGCCCCATGCATGGAGGGAGGACCTTATTTATTTTTCATAAAATAAACATAAATAGCAACGAAAATTTTAAAAACATGAAACCAAACACAATTGAAATAGTAAACGTCATCATTTAAAATGTATAAAAGAATAATAATAATTCATGGGCTAACACCTTGTGATCCATCATGTTTTAAAAAACAATTTTTATATAGTACTTATTCAAATAAATGCCCTGCTTTGAACAAACACCCCTTGAATAGATGCCCCTCCCCCTTCCCAAGAAAAATTTTTCTTCGAATTATCTCTGAATAACTATGGACAGATGAAATGGGAGTAACATCACTTTCAACAATGAATTAATTATAAATATTTTACCCTAGTGGAATTAAATTAACTGCTAATTAAAACAAAGTTCTAGATGCTGTCTTTGTTTAGTACAGGATTTTGATTCATTTAAAAAAAAATACAATTGAATCTTATTCAATAAATGTACTGTACTTCTCATACTTTAAAGACAAAATAACTTGATAGTATATTCAGATTTTGTGTACTGATTGTAAACAGTAACTAGGATGTTCATAATAACTAGAAAATACAATAAATAAAATTATCATTACATATCTTTTCCTTTTTTTCTTTATTATTAAAAAAGATTAAATATAAATATGTTTCTCTTGAATAAAAACAGGCCTTTATCGGCTATTTTAGTCATTTAGCTAATCAAATCAATGCATTCAGGGTGTGGTGAAATGATGGGAGAGGACTATGGAGCTATCATGTGTGGCACATTTTTAGGGAGTCTGTACAGATAATAGTTCACAAGTTTTGGTTATGGTAATCCTCAAAAGCATAGAATAATCCTATGGAGTACTACACTGTTACATCAAGATACCATGTGAAACTACTCCATTGCTATTAGCGACACCAAAATGCGTTCAACCGAAACCATTGTCTCCACTGACAAAACATTGATCACAATTTATAACGTACTTATTAAGATGTTGTATCTTAATTTTTCTTTGTAAATTTAATTTGATGATTAAATTTTGATGGTAAATTATTAGGTTTAGAAAGCCTATTCCTGAAAGCTTATTCTAAACCATTAAGATTATGAAGTCATTCAGGCATAATGTATGGTAACCAATGTCTGGTTGACAACAAAGTGCGCCACCTGGTGTTGTGACAACACAACTTTTGTACTCTATACTATTTTAATATTCTATTCATTTATTATTTATTTATTTATTTATTAATCTATCATAATAAGTCTGAGAACAATAATATCCATTATTATGCAGGTGGGTATGATTCGGAATTCAACCCCCCTCTTTGTCGGTTGCCCTCTCCTTGGCCGTCCCATGGCAAAACAACGTAACTACTTTAATTTACGTTTTTCTTTTGAACGGCCGCCCTGTTGGTTTCGTGGTTGGCGAGGCCTTGTCGCAACTGTTATTAGACTGCCAGTGATATGGCTGGGCTGGGTTGAATTAAGTCGCTTTTTCATAGAATGAAATGGTTTGATTTTAGTATTACTCGATGAGAAGGTCATATGAACATCATAATTTATATTAAAATACTGTATGGTCATTGTCACTTCTACGAAGTTTTAGCATGTTTTAAGGTGCCTCGCACTTTAGTAAAATTATCAATACTGCGGTTATACTTTCCTGCCTCTCATGAATTGCATTTGACGTGGTCACGATGGTAGATGGCTTGCATGAATCACATGCCTCACTGACTCGCAGTTCGTAAAAAAAAAAAAAATACCCGGATGGTCTAGGCCTCTTAAACTGGAGTGTAACTACACTAGTAATAGTAGTAGTAGAGATAGTCCTGGTGGGACTACTTTTTAAGTTCTTACCTAATAATACAGTACCATTTTAACAATGTTTTACAGTGCTCTAGGCCTAAATCTGTGTACTTAGCAGTGAGCAGGTTTATCTGTAAGTTAGTACTCGGTTATCAATATCAGTCCATTGAGTCGTTAGCAGGCCAAGAACTAATTTACTAACTAAATTATTTCAAGTAGGTACGCAAAAGGTAGCTTCCTAGCTTATTTGTTGAGATACCTCACATCTTCAATTTGAAAATTACCAAGATTACTTTTGAATTATAATTGTTTTTTGTAATTGTATATAATTAAATAATCAAATGCTCATATAAATTATATTTTTGTAATCATTGAACTTGTATATCTGAATATTTATATTTTTTAATCGAATAGTGCCTTTTAAATTTTTTAAATGATAAATAATGAAGTATTGTATATTATATTAATGAATTTAAATTTGATGATGTAATTTTTACATAACTAAAGCTTTGTTCTACCTTATTAATTATTTTAGAATTCTCATTTCAAGCTAATTGTTTATATTTTTCAGTATTGTACTTGTTTGCATTGTTTGCTTACTTTAGGCCATAACCTTCTTTTTGTAATTTTTCATTGTAGCATTTATTACTATTAAACAGGATCCCTTTTGGAAACAAGTAGAAATTCTTAAAGGGTTATCCTGAAATTTTTTAATTGTTGTTTATAACTCATTTTTACTTTTTTACTCTGTTTACCTGTGAGGATTTTGAAATAAATCAAATCAAATCATATATTAGTACTAAAATTATGTGTTTATGAGTAAATTAAAACAATTTTTACCATTAGAACAGATTGCAGCTGTGGTGCCCTTAAGTGAAGTTAAAGTAAATCTATTATTTTTGTAAGAAAAAGTTAATGAAAATATTAGCTCCTTTTCCTATTATATTATTTCAACATGAATAAACATATTTTAAAGCCTCATTCCTGGCGAAATTAGATTTTTTAAGAAAAATTTGATTTTTATATATGTTAAAAATATTTATTAATATATTCAGGAAATTGCTAGTTTAACTGAATTTAGAAATTCCTAAAAAAAATAATTGCAAAATAATTTGATTTTTTATGTTCCACACAAAATATAAATGCAAATGAATTGTTTGTTTGATTTTGCGATAGGACTATCGAAATATAGCAGGCACCGGAAACATTAGGTTAGCAACAATGCCTTACCTCAATTTAGGTTCTGTTATCAGACAAAAACGACGTACATGATATTTTCTATTGCTAGTATTGACACTTGTGAAATATAATATTTTATTGGAATTATTTGTACAAAAACTATTATTTTATTTTAGGATGAATTAAAGGGCAAGATAAAAAATAAAGAATGTGGCGGGTTCACAAAACAATTACTCTGCCTACCTCGGACGCTTGACTGTATAATGTCACACACAAAAAGCAACTGGCGGCGAGAGCATTCCAGTGGATGCAATCTACAACCTCTGAATTTGTCTAGTAACGAAGAATTTTTTGAGAAATGTCTCCTATGAGAAATAGTCTCACCTTCTAATTTTTGTTTTCTCTAGCAAAAAATTCAAAATTTTTTCCAATCTGCATTTATTTACGGTTTATAATAATTAGAGTATGCATACTGGTATGCACTATTTCTGAAAACATTTTTTTGT